TTCCCTCTCCTTTCATCAACGATAGGCTACAACGACCAGGAAAATGCATTACATATTATGAGTTCGGAAACTGCATGAAAACAACATCTATATGCAGCCATGTGGAGATTGCGGCGACAGAAAGCAAGTGTAGTTGTCTACAAAATTTGTAGTATTTGTAGTACAAATACTGCTAGTGATAGAAAGGCTGTTTGACATGGGCAGTCACATAAGCGTGATATGCCCAGAACAGCTTGGAATCTAGCCAGAATATACAGTGCAAGACTACAAGTCGTAATAAAATATGCAATGTAGAGGAAGGAGAATGGAACTAGCTGCTGCAAAAGTCTACTATGATAAGAAGCACAGTTACAGTAAATGTGATGGAAAAAAGTGTTGGGGACTACATGTACACCAGCGCGAATCATCCATCGATCACAAGAAGGATCTGCAATGTCCAGTTCAGATTTGCAAGATTATTGCCAATTCAGAGGCATCCGATCTATTTTTTCGGCTAGAGAATAGAGAATTTTCCAGTAAGCTACGCTGGCTATAATAGATCCATGTACATTTTCGCTGTATACAGTAACATATACTTCCTCCGTTTGGAATTAATTGTCCTCTATGATTTTGGTGCCTTACTTCTCCATCATAGGCACTTTATTTCTTATTCAAATTTCTTGCAATACTACGCTTATGTTTTGGGAGTGTGTAGTGCAGTCAAATTTGCAAGTCAATCCGTTGAGTATTGCGGATTGGGCAACACTTCGTAGCAAGGGCCATCCAGTCAGAAACCCACCAGTTTTTCAACATCCCTGCTGGAATGGCCATGTTAGCTGTTTTGAGGAGCACGCCTTTGCGGCAGCGCTACAGAGCCGCCCGGGCAAAACTATCCACGCCGTTTGGACAGAAGATCATAAAGGTGCCTGCAAGGGGCAACAGAAAATGTGCCTTGAATGTCCTAATCATGGAAGTCACCGTGTCTTGTGGCTGCAATTCAAGCTCGATTGGCCAACTCAGAGATGCCCATCAGGTCCAGATTTCTGAACCAGGACTTTTGGACCTCCAACTCCACTATGAGGGATACTGCAGGAGGCCTCTCAAATTCCTTGTAGACCTTCAGGAAGGCGGTGACCATCACCCCATTCAGCGGAGAACAATTAGGGCGCAATTAGGAAGTTGCCCTCCTGGATAGGAATAGCGAATTGAACATTTTTCTGCACTTGAAGCGCTTGAGTTTGAGAAGATTAGGTAGATGGATAATACTATGTCTCTCAAAAGGAAACGCACTTGCTGGGCTGCGATGGATTGTGAGTTGCATGCAACAATTGGCAGATCGTGGCAGTTTGTGGGGTGTGGGCCAGGTTGCCCACATAAACGACGATTCAAGCCTCAATCGAGGCAGATTGTCCAAGCAAGACCTACTGCATAACCTTGGAACAATAGCTCGCACATAGCCAAGCTTGAATACCTTGGACCCTACACTTGTACGCTTGCTTTATGTACGCACGTCAAAGATCGACGATGGCCGAGATTTCAGAAATCGTCAAAACTGCGATGATGGTCTTCCATGATGGGGATCCAAACATGCTTGCGCATGTTTGGCAAGCACCATTCCACGTAAGGGACGCCACCCTTCTCCGCAATGACAGCAACTTCTTTGGCGCACACGAACGGGAATGACCCAGAAACGTGCAGATATCTAGCGGAAGCGGAATGTGCATGCGCACTTTTTGGACGATTTTTGGCCAATTTGAGAGGCCAGAGGGGCTGGGACTTTTTTTTCCTTAAAAATTGATAGTTAGGGGTTTTGCAACCTAATCTTTCCGATTTTGATATGTTTGGTGTTAGGGGTTTTGCAACATAATCTCTCCGATTCTGATATTTTTTGGTAAATTAAAGGTGTCCTTTGTAACGAATTTGGTCTCTGAAATAGATGAAAATTAATTCCGGACAGAAGAAGTAGTTATAAATAGAATTTATTGAATTTGCTGTGGAAATTGTACCGAAGAATCAGCTGCCCTGTAGTTCGACATTGATTTGAGATTCCTATTGCTGAGTCAAGAGGATGAGTGCGCGTCTCGTAGCTACTTAGCAAGCCGCCGGCAGAACAGGCGTCAGTTCTGGGAGTGTGTGTGCAAACGCATTGAAAAGCACCCAGGGAACTGTACATCCAGTAAGAAAATTGTGCTGCGGGGTGTACTTGAGAAGAAGAACGAGTGAAAGATAACGAATACTTGTCTAATCCATTTTTCCCAATTAAACGCTTCGTTTCGTACAACATTCGTGTCACTGCTTGGCCACGAATGGGGAGATGACGAACTAAGTTTAAGCCATTTTTGCCGTCGAAAAAGCCTCGGTTTATCCGACAATATCGTCACTGTTTTGCCATGTACTTTAAGGGAACTTTTTCAGCATTTGGCAAATGAATTCACGGCCGCTCCTAATTGAAACTACATCAGTGTCCCCCAGAGTCCGAATTGAATTGTTGAAGCGCAACTCCTACAAATTTCACAATTGTACTTTGCAAATGCATGGACGTTACGTTCAAACATAATAGGAACAATTCTGAAAATTCACTTCCAATTACACGAGATGTAAATACACATGTACCTGTCAAATCAACTAAATCAGATATGAATGTACTGACCCAACAATGTAACAAGCTGTTCCTGGCAGACCCCATTTATCCTAAGTCGACCTGCAACACCGCTGCCTCTAATCTGTTGACATGGCATCGAGTAGCCGCCGTTCTGGCCGTGAAGTCTAGAAAAACTGAGAAACAATCTCTGCAAGAAAGGACCTCCCTCGGGAAGACAGGGCAGCGCAGAGCTTCATGCCTGGTCGCGGACAAACGGCATTGCTCAGTTTGGCATACACATACTCCTTGCCACCAGCCATTGCATTATGGTAGCTGAAGAGCTCGACATTTCATTCCGCGCACTCGTGCACTCTCCTTGAGAATCAATATCCTGTACATATTTGGGTACTTTGCCTGGATACTGACAAGTGAATAGTCTGGCCTTCAGGACATGCATATTGGCGAGGCATGCCAGGCAATCTCATTGGCACATTATCTTTCTGGCCAACGGCAATGATACCCTATATTCAGGAATCCTTTTGCAGCCACTATCCTCAACATTAGGTTACATGATTTCGAGTTCAGACATCCACATGCTTAGCGTGCTTTATGATAATATTTGCACGGTTTATTGATGCCGCTATCTGGAGGTGATAAACTCCAATCTCCTGTTCCCTAGTTGCAACTGGTGCGTGCAATTGCACGGACAACAGCAAATTACGGCGCTTTCGGGCGACAAAGTTGTGTAATGCGCCGTCCCATGCACCACAGCAAATATAGTAGCGTCATGCGGCAAAGGGGTCGAATCCGCGCTTCCGCTTTTCAAGGTGCAAAATGACCGTTTGTCTTTCAGAGGCACACGCACCAGCAATCGATTTCGCGGCGTTTGCCCTGTTGCGAACTCTCACCTTGGCTGTGCTGCGCATTGGAATCGGCGGCGGCTTAGCCGTACGTCTTCTTGACGAAGGGCTTCTTGACCACCACAACTTTCTTCGTGGCGCACGCGTACTTGTAACACACTGAGCACCAAGGAAAATCGCAGAAATGAATGGAACTGGGCTGAGCGCGCCAAAAATTATGAACCCATAGTTGCGTTTGATGCGCATGACTTCAAATTATACCACTTGGGAACCATTCAGACAAATAGCGCACAGCTTAACCACAAAATGTAAGAATTTAATTGGGTTGGAACGCCCAGACTTGTAACTAAAGCACCAGACAAATAGCGCACAGCTGAACCGCAAAATGTAAGAATCTCATTGGGCTGGAACGCCTAGACTTGTAACTAAAGCACCACAGTTGTCAACAGTGTGTCGCAAGTTTGAGAAATCCATATGAATGCACGGACCACACAGATCATGAAACAATATGCAAACCAGAGAGCATGAAATGCGCAGTTTTCTGCCAATGGCGGCGGAGAGGTCGGCACTGACCAGCGCCAGATGGTCACGATTACAGATGTGAACAACTGGAACTAGAGATCGGCGCTGACCAGCGCCATATGTTCACAATTGCAGAGGTGAACGACTGGAACCGGGAGTCGGCCCTACCGTCCGTCAAATAACGGTCCGCACGGTACCGTTATTTGCACCGTACAGTGACCAGAAATTGGGGCCTGTGCAGCGGTAGGGAAGCATGACCAAACCGCGAAAGTACCAAAACGACTTAAAATAAAAGGAAATCGCACAGAAACACAAAATTACAAAAACGCACTGGCACGCATTACGCAAAAACGCAAAAAGAACCTAAGAACGCAAAAATTGCAGGAAAAGGCAAAAGAATCTCAGAAGAAAAGTTGGAAGTACGGTACGATATTTAACGGACGGCGCCAGGTGGCCTGCCTCGACTTCCAACTGAACTGCAACTACAAATTACAAAAATACCCTTAGACTTCACAGTAGAATTCATGACCCCTCGACCCTTATACTTCAGAAGTAGAATTTTTGACTCCTCTATGCCCTTCAATAAGGAACGATAGATATTCAACAATCCCTAGAAGCTGAAAGCAGTTCCAGCCCAAAAGGGATCAAATCAGATTCCCAACGAGGTACCCGAATTCGATGCAAATGATCATTGGCGAGTGCGACATGTGTAGAATGTTCTCGATTTTTGGGTCCGATCTCGACAGTCGATATAACCGACTGGTATAAAATCTGACAAGACGTATGCGCATTGCTGTGAAGATCAGCGCTGTATCTCAGCAGCGCTGAGCACTGAATGTGAAGATCAATTCCCACAAAACACGATAAATGGGGCGAGTCATCTGGGACGTGAGGTGCCTGGGCATTCGCGATTCCAACCTCCAAAGCACCATTCTAGTTGGGAAGTTTCGGACACAACTGGTAGTGCACGGTTGAAATCATAATCGGATTTCTGTTTATAATTTTCATCGAATGTGACCTCGTTTCTGTTTTCATCGGCAACCAAAATGAGGATTACCTTAGGTAGACTCTGTATTCCACCTTTCCACATGTGCTATCTGCATGGCGCGCAGCTTACCCTTTTTGTCAGAGCACTTCTGGCCGTACTTCACGCAGAATTTCCCCTTCTTCTTGTAGCCGTACTTCACGCAGACTTTTTCGCACTCTGAAAGGGCACAGTTACGTCAAGCGTCAATGTAAGCGGTGGTTCACGCAGAATTTCCCCTTCTTCTTGTAGCCGTACTTCACGCAGACTTTTTCGCACTCTGAAAGGGCACAGTTACGTCAAGCGTCAATGTAAGCGGTGGCTTGATCCTCGATTGAGGAGCCAAATGGCGGCGACTAAAATTCCCAGATACATGTATTCTAGTAGCTCTGAAAATGAGGGACCGTGATTGTATACCTAGAAGCACCTACACGTACATGTGCTCGCAAAATGCTTTGTTCATTCCAGAAACAGCTACATCGCTACAACCCTGATCTGAATTGCAGTACAAGTCAGCTCTGCACTTACTCTTGACGACATTGCACTTGGGGTGGTCCAACTTCGAGCAGAACTCATTTTTTCCGGTGCAGGTCTTCACCTTGTCGTTGGGGTCGCAAAACTTCTGTGACTTGAAATCTGGAGGCGACAGCCAGCAAGAATGTCAGCGGGAATCAATATCAGCAAACCAGTCTGTCGCTTGAATGAATAGCAGATGAGTTGCTGCAGCTAGGTTCGAATTTGAGCTGAAAACACTCTGCTGCACAATAACTGCAGGCGCGACTCGCATGGGAGAAAAGCAGATGATAGTGACCTTAGGGAGACTGGACATCGCAGTTTTCGATTGGCCAGCACTTTTTTTGACCAGGGGGGACCGAAAATAATGAAAGCCACGAAATGAGTCCCTAGCGCGTACCCAGCATCTTCCTGGACACGATCCCGGCTTCCTCCCTGGGGAAATCGCCCTCGAACTCATCGGCGATCGCCTGCACGGGCACAGTTAAAAAACATAAAGCGCCGCAACCACCAGCACCAACCACCACAACCGGTCCGGGTAATGTAGTGCGGATGGTCAAGAGGATATCTGACAGGGGATCGGACCGGGTGTCTCTGATGGGATGTCCCACTGCTCTACCAATACCACCAGGGCCAGGTGTAAGGACGAGGGTAGTCGAACCCCTGTGCCGCCCGGCGCCCCATGCATGACGTTGACTGACCAAGCGTAGGATGTAAGGGTACATGCCAGCGTTCCGGCAATCCAATCGCATGAAGGCACGATCGCCATAGTCATGAGTCCAAGCTGCCTCCTGACGGGGCCGCAGGGCTGACGGACTTCAACCCCCCCGCGATTGTCATGCTGGTGGGCGCCATTGCCGTGCGCCACAGGCCGGTCCCGGCAACCGGCTCAGGCGCAAAGTCGCGCACCATTGCCCACTCTCTGGACTCGGCAAGGCACAGCTCTGACTGCCCGCCGCCGCTAAAGGCTCCGCGCGCGAACAAGAGAGTGCAAACAGAAGAGCTGTACCAGCGCGACTCGCGAGCCACATACGTGCCTCGTCAATTTGTCGATGTCTCGTCTAAATAGGCGCGCATTTGTGCGCAGGGTCGAGTCGGGTCGACTGTGGGCTGGAGGGGGCAACTCACCAGGGACACGCACAGGCACGCGGCCAGCAGCAGGATGGCGGTCTTCATGGCGCCTGCCGAGGAGGGAACGATCACCACATTGTCATCAGCTGGCCACCGCCGGCAAGGACAGCCGGCGAGGATCCCAAACCAATGGACTGCAGCCGCGTGGGCGCGGTGCCTGCGTAGGATTCCTCTCCGGGGTAGAGACCAGAGGCTGAGTCGTGGAGCTCAGACAGCGTCGCAATGAGTGGCCCGCCCGCCCCCCCCCCCCGCCTCGCGGGAGACTCCGAGACTAAGTTTCGAGATTTGCGGCAAGCATTCGTTGCAGCCCACGCCGTGCGTTGCGACAGAAAGGCACTAGGAATCCCAGAGGCAGCCGAGGTTTACCACTGCCGACAGCCCCTCAGCGGATCCCACCCTTGGCTTGAGGGATCGCACCAGCGGGCATTAGCAATCACAGCCGCATGCGATTTTCGACCAAGCGAGGAGCTGCAGGCGCGGAGGAGGACGTGCCCGACGGGGATTCCCTCTCCGGAACCCCTCCAGCTTGGGGCAGGGACATCGGTGCCGCAGTCCCGATCGATTCGCGGTAGCGGCTGGGCGTCTATGCAGCCACGCCGTTGCCCATCGCGCGGCGATGTGGAGGTCGATGCGCAGGTTTATAAACGGGAGTGAGCGGGCCGGTCCATGATCGCCACGGAAGGCCTCTCGGAAGGAAAGAGTCCGCACCGACGCACCCGTCGGGCCAATCTGGCGGGATCCAGACGCCAACCAAAAACCCACCTGGCCTCAGCGACTTTGCTCGCGGTCGTTGCAACAATTGTCTGATCCGATGCGAGTCAACCTTCAACCAGAGCTGGTTCGTTTTGCTCTCTGCGCCCGGCGCCCAGGCTTATATACCCCTCCGCGCCCTTCCCCGCCCCCCTTCCGCGCTCTTGCCCGCTTTCACACCTCTCTCGGCGCCACTCCAACCGCCACCACTCGTCATGCGAGGGCACGCTCATGCAGGGCACATCAAGAAACGTTGTGATGGCGGCGTAATGCCCGTGGGGGCCGAAGTCCCATCGAACGCCGTGGTGACCAACGTGTAGTCACCCACAGTCCTGGGTATAGTAACGGCTGTATAGATGTTGTTTGCATCCAGGGGGTGGCAGTTCGCAAGGAAACTCCCACTGCACCATGTATGGGGACGCCCTCTCACACTTGGGGGCCACTCCCGGCCCACAGAGCATCGGGCTGTCCACATGGCATGCTGTTTGCCCCGCTTCCAGCCGCGTTGGGCAGTGCCAACTTGATGGCACAGCGGCGTGGAGTGGGCGCCACGCAAAAGCGCCCTGACTGGTATTGAGCGGGGCACAGCAGGCGTCACACAAACGCACACTGGTTGGTATAGAGGGGATGTGTGAGATCGAGGGCCGAATGCTGTCCTGTAGCAACGCATGAACACATCAGAACATGTTGCGAGCCGTCCCGGCACACAGCGAGCGCCGCACAAGAGCGCCCTGGCTAGTATGGAGGGAATGGGTGAAGTTGGGAGCCCGATGCTGCCCTGTAGCAGCGCATAAACACATCGTAGCTTCACTAGGAAAAAAAGGTCCAAATAACACTTTTGTGAACACACATAAAACACATTTCAAAGTTCTGCAAGCAAAGGACGCAAAAATAACACTAACCTGTAAACTTTGTACACGTTTGAGCACGTGTTATTTGGCCCTTTTGTTCTTAGTGCTTGTTGCAATGCGTCACGTGAGGTTTCGCACTCCTGAAACGCTGCAGAAGACCCTCTGGGAGCTTTCCTGGTTGCTTCGAGCAAATTTGACAGTCGCACTCTGCCACCGTTTTTCAGCTGCTAAAGCTGGTTTGGGCACGTCGTTACGTTCGCCTTACAGAGCCAGACGATGCTTGTCGAAGCGGATTATCTGCTTTAGCTTCCAACCGGCATCGACAAGAGGCCATCATTCATCTTTTATCAAAATGTTAAACATGCTCAATCGCTCAGTGGAATTTGCGATCACAGAGGTTCCTTCGCTGGAGAGCTCAAGATCAAATGGCTCTTTTTAGTCAACAAAGCACCGACATGCGAGGAGAGCTCAAGATCAAATGGCTCTTTTTAGTCAACAAAGCACCGACATGCGAGGTGCCACTTTTAAGCAGGTCCTTGGCTTTCATCCTGAAACTGATGCACTGTCGGCAGACGGGCAAACAAACCACCCCCGCCCCCAACCGGCGCATCATTTCAGTGCGTTGCCCGCAGTTTTCTTGGTACAGCAACATAAATGGTATCTCCGCTGCATGCTGATGCCAGTATGCACGAGATGTTCCTTGTTGCTTAGGGGCACCGGTACGCAAGAAATCATTCGAATATGCCCCCTCCTTGCACGTTGCCGCATCCCCAATGCCGCTTTTCTGCTAGCGCACGTGCTTCATGTTGCATATTTCCTCAGTAATCTCTTTGCCTTCCGCGTTCATGTACATGTACGTGTACATGAATTTATTCCATTTGTGGACAAATTTACAGATCTTTTGGCCCATCCGCCCAGCGCCAGGGCCGCAAGTGGATGTTGTGGCGCAAAGCCATCACTCCATTCTTGAATAGGCCCATCTGCCTGTTGGCTTGGTCGAGACTATTCTAATAGATTAATCTTTATACCGGTTTACTACTTTCTCCATCCAAGATTAATCGTCCTGTACTGAAAGTAGATTTATTTATTTAAAAACAGCTTCCAAAGTACATTTTAAGATCACAATCGAAAAGGTTGGGTCCCGAAACACTGGATTACCAATTTCGATGACAAAATACTGTCCCGCACTATCCCTGATGCCTCCTTGAAATTGCCTAAGATTCGGCTGACAACTGTGATTTGTCATGCCTGGGACGGGAGCGAACCACAACCGTGAAGATATCCAATGGGCGCCAGATCGGAATGCAAAGTCGTCGTTGCCATCGTGGCGAAGGGCAATGTCCCTCACGTGGTATGGCGCTTGCCAAACAGGTCCAACCGTGTCTGTATCCCCATCCAAAAAGACCGTTGTCATGGCGTCGACGATGGCAGAGATCGCCACCCTCTCCAATCTCCGATATGAGGATCTGCCACAAGCGGAGAAGGCAAATGCCCAAAATGCTCATGCTTTGGATCTGTGCGCGCTATCATTCCAAGGCTATGATATGACTTTTCATGGATACGTCACCTCGACTGATCCTTGAATCGAGGCTGTGTGTGGCTGGGCCCACACTCCAAAACTTGGCACCAGCAGCCAGCTTATATGTGCAGTCCGCAAACCTTCTCAATCTGCATAATCTCTACTTGCGAGATACCAAATGATCTGACCGTTCGCTGCGCTTTCCACCCTTTCAGTTGTCGAGGCAAAGGTCGACTTTGCTATCCCGCCTTAAAGCCATGCTCCTATTCGCCTGCCGCTGATTAGTGTGGTGGCCATCACATTCCTTCGCACTCCATCGCTTTATCCCTGCTGTGATGGGTACGGCACCAGGCTTTCCAAGCCCGTCGAAGGAGGCGGCTGCACGCTCTTTTCAAGGCGAAAGCCCCGGCAAGGATTTTGCGCATGGCCATATGACTGTGCTTCGAGATCGAGCCAGCGGCAGCGCAGGCATTCACAGCCCAATTAACATCAGATCGCTAGGGGCAAAGTCTTGGTAGACAACTGAGTAGGCACAGCGCTCAATTCGCCTAAGAGTAGGCATCGTACTCCCTCCGCCTGGGCCCAAAATCTTCACCCCAAGAACGGTGATGGGCCTCCCCGATCCTCCGTAACGTGGGCAGGCCATGCAGGTCCCGATTTCCGGCCGGCAAATGCCACGCCAGGCTCGCCCCCGGGCGGACGGGACCTCAAAGCAGGTGGCCCAAGTTCACAGCGTACTGCTTCAGTCAGCGCCGCAACGTCAATTCGTGGTAGGGTTAACTTTTCAACCTGTTGTTCATGGCGCAAACGCGACATTGTGCTCTTTTGCACTGGATAGTTGTTGCCATTTCATTACACGCGCATTTCGTTACGCGTCTACACATCGAACAATTCCGCTCGCTGATCAGCAACGCAAAATTTACATGGCATTTTCTTGCATGACACCCCTACTCAATGTGCAAAGATCAGTGTACAGCTTGCCGGCCCAGTACACAGATGTATGCAGGAGTCCTTGGGAAAAGTGTTCAAAGCAGCCAGGGAATGGTGATCGATTACAAACGAAGATACAATGCAACCAACACTCAAACCAACATTCACGCTTTCGAAACACCCCAGTAAGGCTCATTTGCGGCCTCAAATTCAGCCAAGATCAACCCATCGTGCTAGCAAATGGCCCTCAGTCAACTACCTTTTACGGTCCCCATACATCGATCACGCTTCAAAAAAAGGGGTGCAGCTCTCAAAAGAACAAACACCCAATGGCGAGTATGTGCAACTGTATCCCCAGGCGGCGTGGCACAGAGGCAAGCCGCCTCGGCGGATGACCCTGGAGGGACAAACTTTGGATATTCCCTGTTGTGCACGGCAAGCAACACAAAATCACCCTCTCATAATGTGCCAACAGGTACGATGGAATTGCTGCAACTTAATTGCAGATGCATGTTTCAGATGATCCGGCGCTGTGGCGGCACCAGCTTTTGTGGAGCGTTGTGGCACGGCAAGTGATTCTATTGGCTCAAAATGATCAAAAAATGATACATTTTGTCATTTTTGTTTCCTTTAGCCTTGAGACATGTTCATGGGTCAAACTCATTGTGGAAAAAAACGGCTTTAAAGTCAAGATGCGAAGTCCTTACAACTCGTGAAACAAACGACGAACACTAAAATGCTCACCTTCTCTGCAGATGCCTGCCGTCATCCAAAGTGTCCACAGCATCAACCGTGGTGCTTCTTGCTCTTGCAGAAGTGGTACTTGCACTCTATGGACAAACCGACAGAAAACAATGCTGTGAAAACACCGTATTTGCAGATACCGCGTCGATACATTCACCATAACACGACAAAAAAATGATGCTAGAAAAGCGGTGCGTGGTGAATAGTTCATGGGTGGGCAATGGATCAGACGCAATTTGAATAGCGTCCATTGCAGAATAGCGTCCATTGCAGAATAGCGTCCATTGCAGAACAGGTCAAGATCTATGTTCCTCTGCCACATGTGAACACAACCGTAAATCATTGGATCACCGCTCTTGCAGCAGCAATACATCGTTCACTCCAGTACAGACCAATCTGCAATGAACTGTGCAGTGCTGTGCAATATTCACGAATAGTATATTCCTGTTCATTCGTATGACGTTTTACACGTCACGCTAACACTGCTTAAGAATTATCGTTGCAAGTTTCGCCGCGTTCAGAATCCGCACGCACCTTGCACGTCGTAGCAGTGCTTGCCGTACTCCGCGCAGTACTTCACCTTCTTCTTGTCGTAGCCGTGCCCCTCGTACTTGTAGTCATGTCTCTTGCAGTAGTCGTCGCACTCTGAAGATAGTCAACAACACAACGGTGAAAGTTTGCACAACACGTAATTTCCAAAAACTTGTGCTTGAATCCACTATTTCAACTTCCCGTTGTGCTCTAATAGAAATTTACTGTTAACGAGGACAATATTTCTATGTCTATACTGAGCCGAGTACAGTGCAAGTAAATACAACAGAAACTCCGGTTTGCGTACCATAAACCTTCCATATGTGCTTACTATTGCAGCATACAACAGAAACTCCGGTTTGCGTACCCTAAACCTTCCATATGTGCTTATTATTGCAGCATACAAGAGCTCGAAATGCGCGCAAGGTAAACTGTAGCTGAAAACAACATGTCAAACAGGCCAATACATAGTTTCAGGCCCCTGTGCATTTCTCCGTGACTTGCTGTAAGGCATCTGACGATAGCTCTGCAACAACTTGTATTTTGTGTGCGCCTCTGTTACCAGTATTTCAGTGAAAACGGCCATTTCAGGGAACACCATGGTACCCTATTATACTACTAGCGACCGCACAATCATCCGTACAGAGCATGTCATCCTTGCTGCCAGGCAGAGATGCGATTGGACAGTGACAAATGAACTGTATGGAATCTGAGCCAGATATGTGGCTTCAAAGCGCGCCATGGATAATTCGTCACTGGGAGGATGGATACGGGAATACCAGTTTGAATCATTTATGTGTTCAGGCCCCTTACTCTGCTCAGTGTAGCAGTTCTTGCCGTACTCCGCGCAGTACTTCACTTTCTTCTTGTCGTAGCCGTGCCCCTCGTACTTGTAGTCATGTCTCTTGCAGTAGTCGTCGCACTCTGGAGGCAAGCGACACAACTACCATGTCAAGCTCCCACGCCCACAGCCGCATATGCAAAAATGCGAGCACATTTGACGGCAACAGATATGTGAACCAAGTAGAAAGACGCATGCACACATCTTAGTATGAGCACAGGCGATTGACAACCGTAGCTGACCGTCGTCCAGGGGACGGCGGTAAAAGACCGTCTCCATACTAAGGGCCAGAAAACAATAGAAAAAACTATCATTGTCGAGTTTCCTGCTGTGTGCTGCAAAACTCTCATTGTGAGGTGCAAGCGGGAGCGGTGAAACTCTCAATATGAAAGACTCCGGAAGGTCCAGTACATAGGAATGCGTTCCAATCTAGATAAGCAAAAATGTTGCCCATCTTTTCTTGCGCGCTTTCTGTCAGCAAAATCATGCTGTTCTGCTAGCAACGCGATTGCAGAAAATGCGCCTTACTCTGCTTGGGATAGCACTTGGAGTAGCCCAGGTCCGCGCAGTACTCGTAGTCAGTGCACGAGTAGTCGTCGTGCTTGCCATCGCAGTACGTGATATCCTTCTTGTCTGACAGAATAAGATACAGACATTGTTAGCTTGAGCAACAGGCCATAGCATGTAGAAAACCACAATTCAACACAAGCTCAACGAACCTATTATTGGTGCACTAGTGGCGACTGCAAATTCCGATGTTCCTTTTCAGGCGTTGTGCCTGGAAAGACCTGGAATGACTCGGTAAGGGGAACAACTGCGACTGAGAATGCTATGAGTCAAACTCACCCAGCAGTTTCCTGGCCAGCGCAGCGTGCGGTTCCGCCTCGACGGCCTGCAACAAAGCAGAGGATCTCAAACGCGTGAACGTGAAATGGACAACGTGCAAATATTCCATGGCTTGCGTCTCTCGCCTGTGGTAGATGTTGCCAGGAAATTATGAGTGTGAACACCTTGGAGTTCGAGAACCGCAATCAGGTTCGTGCCCAGAGAATCGCCATGAACTGGTGGCACGCCGGAAGCGCAAAGATATCATTGTGATGGGCCAGGCGAAATTCCATTACATCCAGCCAAAGTGTTTGTCCCTATGCACAATCCAAGACGGGGCCCATTCACAAGAAATGCGATGTAGGGCGGTGATGAGCCAGGTGGAGTTCGAACAAGTGTCCTAATTCTCAACGTTTCAATAGGCGCTGACCACGATCAATCCATCGGGCACCGTAATAACGCACTCAGCTTTGCTGGCACTCATCGGAATCCGAGCATCAATCGCCGACAGCAAACGGTGAGCTCTGGCGGAGGAATCCGGCCAGCACTCTTAAGAACGACAGGTGGCTTCGCGAGCACTGCTCTGAACAGGATCGTTCAGCTATTGAGAAGCAGCGATTAAGAAGCAACAGGATCAAGGAGCGATCGAGACATCTGGAACATGGTGCCATGGTGCCATGGTGCGGGCGGCTGCTCGGCTCGGCCCGCGCGCGGCTCACCATGGCCGCCGAAACGCAGAGGACGAGCAGCAGGAAGGCGGCCTTCATGGTGCCTGCACGCCGCAATCCACGTCAGGCCCCCAACACTGAGTCACTCAAAAGCGCGTGCCTTGCTGCCGCCTCGCCGTCGCCGCAACGTTGTGGATTGGATTAATCCACGTCACATCAAATGACTCAGACGCGCGTGCCGCGTTGCCACTTCATAACGGAAGTCACAACCCCCAAACACTTAGTCACTCAAACGCGCGTGCCGCGTGCCGCTCTGCCACGTCACAATGGAAGAAGGTACGAGCTGTCACTTTCAGGTGGCCGAATTCGCTGGGCGTTCCCACTGTCATGGTTCCAGCGGCCCGTGCACACGTGTCCTCGCCTCGCCCTTCCCAATGGCGGGGACCGCCTCCGGGCGGCCGAATGTTGCGCACCGAGGGGCTGCATGCGCTCTGGCGCCGCTGAAGCGAGGGGCCGCCAGCGCCGCGGCGCGCAAATTGGCATGGCGGATTACCGGCGCTGCTACGGGCGTTCCCGTTCGCGATGGGGCATCTAGCCGTATGCGCGGCTGCCGCAAATCCGATGGACCTTGCGCCCCAACCCACACACGCGCACATGCCGCTGCCTGACACGCATGATGATTCCATGCAAGTCAAAGAGATTTTCCTGCCACGCGGGTGCTCTGGTGGCAGAGTGAAAGCGCGGCGGGCACCTCGCGGTCATGAGGCGCCGTGGGATCGCGCGCAACGTAAGCTTGTCCCATCCGGATCTTTGAGCCACGACCGCGAACGTGGGCGGCATGGGCGTGCGCGGAAGTTGCGCGGCCGCCGCCCTCACCCACCTCTCTTTCGGCGCCAAGACGTCCGCCCCGCTCGGACAATTCCGCAAAGAATCTATGCCAGCCTTTGGGAGAGTGCCCACACACCCATTACTCTACGGCCCGGCCGCCGTTCGCGCCCCAAGCAAAGGAACTCCCGGGCGTGGCTGCCAAAACGCACTGCTGGACTGCGAGAATCGGACTCCGGCGGCGTAGTGCTTCCGGCGATTACTTAGGCGTCCGCGTGCGATTTACTCCAGACGAGCCACGAAACAATGAGGACGGCGCCGTGCCTCAGCGCCACCTGCGCATGGAGCAGGATCGCCATCCAGCGACCGCTCAACGGCACGCCTGCGCCGACAAGTGCGCATTAGCGATTGAGCAAACGAGCGCCGCTGCGCGACCAGCCTGGGCCTCTCAAGCGGCTTTGCAGCGCGCTGCTTCCGGGAGCTTGCCAATCAACGACGATCGCTGTCGGGGCTTCCCCTCGACGGGGGAAACGCACGCGGGTCGCGGAGGGGCTACCAGCTGACAGACGCACCGGCAGGCTCTGTGCGGGCGCTCTGCTGCAGTCGAGGCAAGAGACAGGCCTTCGGGGGGCAGACGAGTGCCCAGGAGGCGGCGTCCGGTATATGTACCCCCCGAGCCCCTCCACCGGTCCTCACACCCGAGCGCCCGAGTCAGCAAGAAGTGGCACCACGGTGAAGGTGCGAAGTCGCTGAATCGGATTTGCACTGGGAGGTGCGCCGCCATCTTCGCACCCAGCTGGCAGTGTGTCGCAACGTTGCTTCGCCTGAAGCCGGGTCCGCGCAGCCGCAAGGGGCGCCGGGCTGCAAGTAATGAAACCTGATCGCCGCCGACGTGGAAATGGAGCTGCCCATGGCTGACATACGCAACTGACGCCACCAATAATGGGCAGTCAGCGGTATTTGCAAACCCCCCCTTCGCCGTCCAATTCAAGTTGGAGCTTCCCCTGAGAACCTTCCCGTTGTGAATCGAATGGGCCCTTGCCCTCCAAAAGGAACAACATTCGGTGCCGGTTGCTTTGGCGTCGTAGCTGACGTGGTTCCCAGCCCGACATCCGCTGCCGGTCGAGCTACCCGGCAGTGCAGGGTCTCACTGCGGGTAATGGGAGCTCCGACTTCCTTCAGAATTCTGGTGGACTGTGACCTCCCGGCTACCTGCCAATGCGACTCACGTGGCCTCCAGCGCTTTAGAGTCTTCAAGCTCTTAAATTTTAAGGGGAAGGTTTCCTCGCCCTGGGAAGATTAGGGGTGAGGGTTCCGCCCAGAGGAAGAGTCACACTGATCACCCCCGCCGCTTTCATGCTGCCCCATGCTGCCTCAGCTCGGCCACCCACACCAGGGGTAGCTGCCACTAGGATGTGGAGTCAGATCACTGGAAACGCTGGGTCCGACTGGAGTTTGGGACAATGCAGGCCTTGGCGGCTGCTTCAAAGCTTTCACTAAAGCAAGCCGGCAGCAGTTTACGGTGAAAGTTTAATGGGGCAGTTGTAGATGCTCCACCCTGAAGCGCCTCAGGCCCGCCGACGGGCCCACGCGGTCGTTTTTCTTGCTGAACCAAAGTGCGATTTATACGTCCATGCAGGAAACCTCGCCTTGATCCGCTGGAATTATTCATGAAAATCAACCCAATATCAAATGAATCGTGCAGCCATCGTTTCAACATGCAATCGCCTCCGCTGCCATAAATAAGGCGCTATAGCCATCTTCTAGGAGATAACAATCGATTTACACGCGCTTACATGTTGAGATATCTGCCGGCCTCAGCTTGCTTACAGCTTGCAGCATCCCTGTTGTCTAGGCTTTATTACACGCATATTACGC